CTTGCGAGTGCCTATGTTTTTTTGCCCTCGTGCTACCCTTTTTGAGTTCCATTCAATATTCTAAACACAAAAATCCTAGGCGCGTGCTCTTCGACATCACGAAGATCGCATACTCATCCCCGCCCAAGAAGCTATGGAGAAATCCAACCTCCCAGCATCTGATGTGAACACCAGTGAGCTGTTGGAGTGGGTGGAGTCCCAGAAACCTCTCCTAAAGGAGATTGAGACGGATGTTCGCGATGCGAAACGGAGGATCTGTGTGGCCAAGGGGCCGCGCAAAAAGCCAGCAGCTGAAGTGGAGGCTTCCGAGGGCACCTCCGGTGGTGAGTCTGGAGACTAGCTTTATATAGATCGATCGATCGATACAAATATGCACTGTATAAGATCGCGAACGAAAGTTTCCATTGGTCATGCCACACAAAGTCCGACATCGATCACGCAGTGTAGCTGGTATCAGTTGTCAAGTGCACCATGCACTGCCACCGACTGATTCCCACTGTCTGTAGTGGGGTGGTCCCTGAATCTGAGCCCTTCCACTTGCCCATCTTGTTTCCAAGAAGGTTGCATGGATCGATATTGCGCAAAGGCAGTGATCCGTTCGATTCATCCGCATGCCCATTTGCAGAGAAGAGGTCCATGTGAGAGGGTCGTCGTCCGTGCGGTCGTTTTTGGGCTTCGCAGCGTTGAACAACTGGTAGTCCTCACTGTTCTGGTGCCCCTCACCACCGTAGGGCTTTGTTTTTAGAGCCAATTCAGCCTGCGCTCTGTCAGACTCACCATATTGCTGTAGCGCATGTGCGATCCTCATCTCGTGGATCATGAAGCTTGAAATCAAGCTTTGGTGGCAAGGTCGAGAGTGACCAGTTGGACTGTGCAAGATCCCTGGACTTAAGGTGCTTTGTTCAAGTGCTGTGCACAAGCTGTACTATAGAGACTTGTTTCGATCTCAGTGGATCTGCCAGTTCTGGCCTGCTAGTGCCTTAGATCATTGGTGCTTTGATAGAAGCTCCAGTGCCTGGCCAACAGCCACTGTGCACAATCATGTTTCGGGGCTGAACACGATCAATCGCATCGTGTCACAGGGGTTTAAATAGTTCTGTGATGAACATAGAACGCGAAGACTAAACTAGTTCGAAGCTCGGGATCTGAAAGGTCATGTGCACGCTGTAGATTTACTGCACATGTGCGTGCAAATGTGTGCCACCATCAACCATGAGGAAACCTGGACTTGTGATGGCTTCAGTGGGTTTCACTCTGGGGGTTTTGAGTGACCAATCGTTTATCACCTTGTGGGCTACCATGGATTTAGTGGAGGAATATTTGCAGCTCACTCGGAAGGTTCTTTGGTTGCAACGTTTCTGTGTGCTATAGATCGAGTAAACTTAATGTGTGCATTGCGCATGCGTGCTAGGTTAGTGTATCTTCGATTGTGAAAATGCTGAGCGCTATTAAGAAGAGAGTTCCAAGACGACTTCTTCCGTGCCCTGGGCTGTATTAATTCCAATGTGTTTCAAGGGGTGTTCACAGCTAGGTATAAAGGACAGTTAGCTGTCAGTTGTATAAGGACAAACCTTCGAGACCTATTGGAAGTGGAGAAAGATTCCGATCGAAATGGCGCAAGGAACTTTTGGAACTGGCTGAACAAGCAGCCCTGGATGCAAATGCTTCCACCACCACGAGAGTAGTTTGGTTGCCCTAGCCCAACAGTGCTTGTTTAACAATAGATAGACAAAATGATCCTGCACGCTAAGGGTACATATAGTTCTGCAAGACATGGCCTTGGAAGAACGATGGTATATTGGTTCGTGGCACCTTCTCCTTCCCAGCGAGGTGTGGCTAGGCTCCATCTTCCTATACTTTGACAAACACGATGTGTACGCGGAGGTATAAACACAATTATACATATCGAGATGTCATGTTAAACCACCCAAGGTTTGCCACCATCTACAAGTATAGCTTCGAGCTTTTTCAGCAGCGATTTCTTGGCCCACCAGGAGTCTGGATCTTAATGATATGCCTAGTCGAGAGGCAATCCCATCGACCAAATATTCCTTTCCCAGGCGATTGAAAGCTTCTGGGAAAACATACGGCACACTGAGTTCTTCCGTCACCATCCAATATTGAGTGACCCTGCACCATACCTGCAATAGCTGTGCAAATGTGCATGCAACATGTCGCACGCTAGTTTTACATGATCGAGGCAACTGACTTGGCAAGATGTGTACCCATTGTGCTGCATGGGGATGACGCTGAGTCTCATCGTCGTCGGTACTTCACAGTCTGCAGCTTCGCCAGTGTCACTGTTGGTCATTGCTCTCCATGGGAGAACAGGTATGTGCTTTATTGCATAGATGGCAGCCGAACTTGCGACGCTTCGTATGATGGCTTGGATTCTTGGTTGGCCTGGTCATTCAAAGAGCTGATGCACGGTGAGTTTGATGACGCGGGCCCATGGGGTGAGGAGGTGAAGTGGAGAAGGGGCTGGCAGATGCACCAGCCTTTGGCTGGGGGGTATAGAGGGATCCTGTGCTTTCATCGAGGGGATGAAAAGTATTTGATCAAAGCTTATCATTTCAAAACGAATTGGAATTCCGAACGGGTTTGCTGGAGATGCGCAGCGAGTAGAGTTGCCAATTCTCCCATGCAGTATACCTACCATGGAAGGTCTGCGCCACATCGCAGTACCATGTACTCGTTGGAGAACTTTCTAGAGTTGTGCCATCCCAACTGCTGGACTTCCTTGCCGGGATTCCACCCATCTATGCTAGCTTTTGACCTCTTGCACATCTTTGACCTCACATTGCTCCCAGATGCTGCTGCATCGGTATTTTTGCTGCACCAAATTGCAAACACTAGCCAGCGCATACACCGCTGCAGTGGCACGCAGGTACTGTGTGCCCATCTCACTGAGGCACTGATTGAGCTGTCTTCGACAGATGAGGTATGGCAGGGAGCCAGCCAAGATGAGCGTCTTAGGAAGGCGCACATTGAGTTCACGCAGTTGTGCAAAAGCCACAAGATTCGTTCCTAGACTAATTCCATTGCGCACATGGATGCATCATGCGTATATTGTACTGGCCAGTGGGACTCACCTGCCAGTGGCTAAGGAAACAGAGGGAAAGTCTTTTCCGTGCAACTTGACTATGCAGTGGGGTTGTTGTCAGCACGGGGCTTCGCTTCATTTTGACTTTTGTTTCATCAAACTTTAGGCAGCAGATGGTCGGTGACAAGAAATCACATACATTTCCCACTCTAGCCCAGCGGCACTTCAATGGATCGGAACATGCCTCAGCTTTTTAAAGCACGCTTTTGGCAAGCTTTAGCTGGATGACGGGACTGATGCATGCTTTCGTACATGTGGCAGGAGAGCGTGATCTTGGCAAAATATATGATGGGCATCACTATTGCCCACGCTCAAGCGCATCCACAAGATGAGCATTCGCAGTGTCTTAGCACGTCTTAGCGTGTGGTTGCCCTTCTTACTACCAAGTTGCATGTATCTCTTGCTAGGCTTCGGGCCGCCGTGTTTATCAACGCGGTGGCCCTACGCGAGGCTACATCTTTGAGGTATGGCATGATTTTGCCAGAGATGAAGCTGAAGCAGCTCACCACTGCCAACTACCTATTCCATTCTTCGATTAATTGTGCCTCGTCTCATTGGCTGGGTGGCTGACCAGTGCTCTTTCGAAAGAATTTGATAATTAGTCTTTGGTAGAACCAAGGGCTGGCTGCAGAATCGATTGCGAACAAGAGGGCCCTATGGAAGCTACGTCCAAAACTTCATAAGTTACATGGTCGCATATGTTCACTTCTGTGGCATACCCTGGTTCTCTCCTAGATGGATAGCTATGTGCGCGTCGACTGTCTGAGGCTGGACCACCTGGCGCTAGATCTGGGACCTTTGATCTCACCCCTGTGGATCAGCACCTACGGGGACGAGGATCTCGTGCACTGGTGGCATTCATTTCGGCGTATATCTATCCTTTGTCAAACATGCACGTGTGCGAATACCTTTGTGTGGTGCTGAGGTCGGAAGGGTGAAGGATTTTGCCAAAATGGCAAATCCTCAACATTTGGGCCGGCAGGTTCTTTTGCGGTATGCAGCTTTCGTTTGCTGCCGGTGGCGGGGCCGGCTGGAAGCAAAGGAGTGACCTACCACATATCGATATGCTCTTTTAATCCTAACAGGTACCACAAACCCACCAACATCCGTGACCCTGACCAGCCGGGCCCGAGTGTCGCCTGGGCCTGAAAGATGGCCAAGTTGTCGAAGAAGCCGCGCTCCACGGAAGAAGGGTGGGGATGGAGTGGGAGAACCAGGTTTCTTGGAGGGGTGGAGGCACCAGGACTTGGTGGTCTAGTGCATGGGTATTTTTGGTTTCTTTCACTTTAACTAACAGAATGAATCTGAGTGAACACCATGATGTCCAAGTGTACCCTTTCGTCTTTAAGTGACCTTTATCGAGTCTAAGTGACCTTATCCAGCTGCTTCTAAGTGACTGTTTTTCTTTGATATTCTAAGTGACCCCTTGAAAGTGGTAAAATATCAAACGGTCACTTTGAAGCAGCTGGCTGTTTGTTTTTTTTTCTGCAGGGCCTAAACAGCTCATGTCTCCTTTGTTTTTTCTCAGGGCCTACAGCCTACAGCTCATATCTCCTTTTGCACTTGAGTCAGTGAGGGATCCGTCGAGTCCCCAACACCGACCTCCGACACAGCTCAAAACACACCAACGACGAGACCAGTCGTGAGTCGTAGAGCGAGGACCAACGACTGCAAGGAGTTCGTTTGGCCCTAGGATTCCTCTACTGAGGATTGTTTTACTACGGATTTGACACTCTACAAAACCAGGTCAAGAACGGAAGGTTCGCGCAGGATGTTCTAGGAGAATGTCTTGACTGCGGCCAGTGTGACCAAAAGGAATCAGGATCTGAACATGGTCACATGACCGAAGTGGCCGGTGCAAAGCGCAGGGTCCTTACGAGTCCTTCGCCCAAGTGGCTGCGTCTCATTGAAGTCGGGGAACCTCGGTCGTCTCCGCGAGACCGACGCGGATCCATCGAGCGAAAGCCACGAGGACGCGTGGGAAACCACGGTCTAGTCGACGAGCCGGAGCCGGCAGCCACCATGACACCACACCCGAACTCGGCCCGACGTCTTCGTACCGCGAAGCGCGAAGCAGTTGGGACGAGTCCTGGGGACCCGGGTGCCAGGGGTTCGGGTCCAGGAGCTACCGAAACCTCAGGAGGTACGAAAACGGAGGTGTAGGGACAATATATATCGTTCCCTGTTCCAAAGGTACCTGGACCCTCCTAGAGATCCCATCCCTTTGGTCATCGTAGGTGGGCTTGGTATGCCAGGTGACTCCTCTAGCCAGGTATGCCAAGTTCGTATTCGATCAGACTTCTCAGGGGAAGTGCTGAAGGGTAGGATGCTTTAAAGTCGCTGCACAAACAATCGAGTGCTGGAAAGAAACCTGCCATCTTGGTGCTGGATTGCTTGCAGCGTGGCGTTAGTAGAGTTGGTTTAAGGATATCTTGAAATTGGGACATCCATCGTTTTGAGGGTGAACACATCTTTAAAACGATGCTTGAAAAGAGATGTTCTCTTTCACACCCATCATGAACCCCCTGCAGAACTCTTTTCTACCTGCAGAAGGCCTCACAAACCACACCAAAGACTGCTTTGCACAGCCCCAAAACCCTTGTTTTTGCTGGGGTTTTGGATGGGACCCGTCGAAGCCTGTTGTGGAAGACCTGTGAGACCTTCCATCCTCTTCCTGCCGGCTCCGGATCCTCTGGTCCGCCGATGGCCGAAGCCGGTGGCCGAAGCCGGTGGCCGAATCCGGTGGCCGAACCCCCCCCTGTGTTGGTTCTTTGAGGTCATTTGGGGGTCCTCCTCCTGCAAGGTCATCTTCGCTGATAAGAAGAGGTGACCAACCCTGTTCTGGGTATACCTAGAAGATCCTTTGGGCAGAAATTCTTGCCTTTTTCGGGAAGAGCGGCTCTTCCCGTCCTGGGGCGGAAATCAGCTGTTTGCCGCGGAAATGTTTTTGTTGCCGCGAATATTCCCTTTCAGGAATCCAGTGAGACAAAGACTACATATTCTAGAGGAGTTGAATATTTTTGTGGTTTACATTGGGCATTTCTGCCTGGAACGGTCACCGCAATGAGAAAAAAACATTTGCAGCGCTTAAGTTTCCACCTCCACCTGCAAATCTGGCTACCACCATATCATATATTATGTGTCTTTGTTTTTGAAGGTTTCTTGTGCGGAATGATCACAAAAGGGCTAAAATCAGTCCAAAGTTGAAAACACCTGGCGCGAAAATGCCCGGGAAAAAGGCAGAAATACCCGGGAAAGAGGCGGAAATACCCGGGAAAACGGCGGAAATACACGGGAAACCGGCGGAAATTTCCTGGTAGAAGGCGGGATTCAAGAACAGTGCCTTTGATGCCTTTGAAGGGGAATGTCATGAATTTAGAAGTGTCAAAAGCGTAGGGTGTCAGATCTTGAGATGTGAAGCTATGCAGAACGATATGTGGTCTGCAATCATGGAAGAGACAACCTGGTAGGTTGTAATGGTTTTTGAGTTGCTATGTTGGATTTTGCTTGAGGCAAAAATTCCCTGCTGCCCGCGGAAATTCCTACCTGGCGCGGATTTCCCCTAAATCCGCGAATCCTCCCGGGCAAATCGGACTGAGGCAGAAATTTCTGCCCCAGGTGCTTCTAGGTATTGATGGGGAAGGGCATCTTCTGACTCGTGCGACTCGCAAGGAATTATTTAGTTAATCCAAAGCTGTCTCTGTTCAGGGCTAATGGCTAATGGTTGGATTTGAGTGGGACACTCCCGAACTCCCCAGAAGAAGGACGATCAAGGTTTCAATCTTTCCTACAGGCAGGAGCAGGACTAAAGGTTAAAGGATGTTAAAGGTTATCCATCTTTCCTGTGTACGGGTGGGGCTGACCTGGAGCTACAGCCTAGCTGCCTAGCAGCTGCCTAGCAGCTGCCTAGCTACCCTGAACTGTTTGATGTGAGCAAACGTTTGCCTCCACGCACTGCATTCGGGGCAGCAAACAGGCCCTGTAAATAACCATCCGATTTCGGGACGCTTTTGAACCCTTTGGGCTTGACGAGACATGTATAGCGATGCCATGCATAGAAAAACCTGATGATTCCTGGGATAAAGGTAGATGTGGAGACACTTGAAAGATCGTGATGCTCGAAACATTCTGGAAACATGTGCTAATGGTCCTAGTCATGATCCAACATTAAGAACATGCATTTGAGATTTCGCCCTGCATTGCAACATTCAGTTGATCCGGTGGTCAATCAAACATATTCATGCAACCTTTCAATTCCCTAATGAAAAAGTTGTACCTTCTCAGAAGGTACTTGGACCCTCAAAACCTACATAAGAGTGTCTCCAATCACCTAACCGGAGAAGGTACGACTGGATCCCTAGGGATTGTCTAATTGTTCTAGGCCTAATCCTTGCTACAAGCTTCGTCAACGCCCAGTCAACCTTGTTGAAACATCGATCTCAACCGAACGACATGCACACTTTCTCGAACACAGCCCAGTCCCAAGCAGTTGTCAGTCTATACAGTTACAGTACAAATCCTAAAACATAGCAAGGAACATGGTCATGTTCTTGGATTGGTTGATATTCCATCATATTCCATCTACTCCATGGTGCTTGTAAATGTTGACCTTCCCTGCCTTTTTGAGCCTTGGAGCTAAGAATTGAGTTCCACTAGGTTCGTTCCACCGTGTCTCATCTTCTGCACCCATTTATAGCGGCACAACATGGCGGCACCCATCCCTGTGACCCTATCCACCCCAACCAAGTCCAGTATGACCCGGTCAAAGCCCCTGGTCGACCTTGACCTCCTGTTCCTGGTGTTTTTGGACCAGGCTCCAGGTCGAGCCTGACCTGCCATCCGAGCACACCCATCCCAACCGACCTTTTCGGTCCCGGGCCTCACGAACATAGGATCGACCGCTTGGAACTCCACCGAAGGCTCCCAGAACATGAACAACACGTCTCCTGCCCACGTCTTCGGAGAGCAGCGAGATCGAGCGAGGCGGAGCGTGGGTGGGGAGGGGTCGCAGAAGTGGAACCGGAAACAGCGCAGGAGAAATGCTGATTGCTGCGACTCGACTCGTGGAGAATGAGGGTGGCTGGATCCTAAGGTATCTTTAGTGGAGGGCGACGCTCATTCCCTGCTTTCGTCGCACTAGTCAGAAGAAGATGGAGGGTGGGGAGGGTGGGGAAGGGACGATCTTTGGTTTGATCTTTTTGGTCAGGCATACGGCATCCTCGAGCAACACATATTGATGTTTTCAATGTTAACAAGTTAATTCTTTTGCGGGGATAGGAAGGGAAGGTTTGTTTTTGTTGCTTATTATCCCTGGAGGCAAAACATAACATGACCCTCTGAGCTCTTCTGCTGGTGAGGTTCGACATTGGGAGGATCGGGGTACATCTACATGCTCTCCACTGCTTAGGACCCCCCCAGGCTTCCAACCACCATTGATTCAATAGCCTGAATCTGAACCACTGTTTGATTTGACTTAAGGATTTGACACTACCAAACCAGATCAGATCGGGTCCGGACCTGAAGACGGGACAATAGCTCTCAAGCAGCTATTGAACATGCTCATGTTATACTCAAACCATCCGTGGAACTCCTTGTACCCATTGTTGGAAATACTTTGAGGGTCTAGGTATATTAGAGTGTATAGTATAACTATTCCATCTACACGGATGATCTGGCATCACTTCAGTGATGAGCTCATTCTATAAGATCCCCACTGCCTTCCAGCCGCAAAGCTCGAGACACCAAACCAAGGCGCTTTGTGAGAGCACCAAGGAGGAAAAGTCCGAGGAGCCGTTGTAGTGGGCCACACCCAAGGCCAGTGGCATATGCCAAAATGCGGCCTGAAGGCACACAATTCTGGCATCAAATGCATGTGTTTGGAAGAGATTGCGCTTTGCGCGTGCGTTCTTCCCCGGTGATGACGTGCATGTTCCACCGTCAAGCGTGCCAGGATGTCAAACTTTCAGGAAAGAAAGGGCTCCCTCCAAAAAATACCCCTTGCACTCGAGAAATTCACCATTCTATGGACATAAAAGCCTGAGAAGGTGGTAGAAGCAAGGTGCAAATTGGTTGTGAGTCCCAACGTGGAGCCCCAAAGCCTGGGAGGTTCTCCCAGGTCGTCTATTCTGTTCATTCTTGGTGGTCAACCAAGGTCCCTGGATTTTGACCCTAAAAATGGGTACAGGCGGACTTGCTTTTGTTCTGGTCTTGTCCCATTTTCTAGGGTACTTTGAGGGTCCTGTTATGTCCTGTTGTTGTTGTTGTTTGTTTTCCAAGATCCTTTGTTGGAGGAACAGTACGGAACGGTACCAAAGTCTCGTACTTCTTGGAATTTCGGTTACTTTTTGAGAACTACACGGGGCCTGCGATGAGCAATTCCCGTCCACGCGCAGCTTGAACCCTGTCATGAAATGAACCCGAACCCTTCTAGCCGGACCTTACAAGAAGTGTCTACCAGCAGTCACAAAGGGGTGCTTAATGGAGGTTAGGGGTGCCCATTATCCACTCACTTGGGGACCAAACACCACCCCTTTGTGACTCCTGGTATAAATAGCCTCTTTGAGGTTAAGAGGTGTCCCAAAACCACCTGTTGGAAGGTCCTGGTAGCTCACCGCGAAGCGCTTTTCTCCAACCCTAACACTCCACCATCTCCCATGCCTGAACTGATCCAACCGCGCACTCTGAACTGATCCCCATCTTTTTGCCTCGAACATCACGTTGGTGAGCCTTTTTCCAGCGTTGGGTGTCACCAATGTCACCAATCCCCCGCAGGTTTTCCACTGTTCCAGTCGGACCACGTAGAACCTGGTTCGACCTTGACTTATTTTGAGTACTGTTGCCTTTCCCCGATCCAGTCGAGGTCCATTGACCTCTAGGGCTGGGTATAGGCGAAGAGGGTGGCATTGTCTTGCTGCATTGCTACTAGTAGTAAGGTGCCTTACTAGTAGTAACAAACTACTGGTAGTAAGGCACCTTGTTACTAGTAGAAATGCACTTGGCACTTAGCTACTATAGATCAGCACGATCCGCACCCCACCGGGCCTTCTGCATCACCTCCTCCGCAAGAATCACATTGTAGCCTTGCAGTGATAGGACGCACAACATGACTAGCTGAACTTGATAGGGCTATCACAAACTATGAGACACCTGCAATGCATTTTTTTTTTGAAAGATCCGATGTCTTAATGCCACACAGCTGGCACCTCACAGCCACCAAGAAAACACAACATGCAGTCTATCAAAATACATGGAGTCTCAAAGTACAAATACCTTCTCAGTTCGTACCTCGGAAAATGGGTACGGTCGTACCAGTTTGTTATAGGGTCATGTCCCATGCTCTACTTCGGAGGGTCCAGGTAGCAATGAACCATGTTGAGCAGATGTGGAATCACCATGAAAGCCAGCTCTTTCGGCCATGCTCCAGCAAAATTTGCAATCAACATGCTTAGGGATCTCAAAGTACCCTATAGAAAAATTAGAACCTTCCATCACAATCACTTTCCAACATCACCGTCACAAACGCATCCATTCTCCGAGGTTGAACCCAACAAAAACAGCTCCTTTCCCTAAGCTTTAAGGGTCCAGGACCATCCTGAGGATGTCCTTTGACCCCCCAAGACCATTCTCTGGAAGTACGTACTCACCTTCAAGACCATCCGAAGTACGGAGGTACCTGGACCCTATGGGTTTCATTTCTCCAGCTCGGTCGCTGAATTCGTCCTGGCCATGTGAACGTCGTTTCCGGTCGTTTCCGGTCGTTTCCGGTCGTCCGCCATGGCACCACTTGCGGAGCCCGTCAAGCAGGGGAAGCAGTCCGTGCTGTTCCGGCACGCGGGCGCCAGCCACCAAACGTCACGCCAGCAGCGAGGACCTGAGGTCGAGCTCCAGTCTCAGTGCGTGAATCGATGTGTGCAGGGTCTCACGCCATCCAAATTCGTTCTTGGAAGTATAAAAAAGCCTTTTTGGCGGGCCTTGGAGCTGCTGGGCAAAGAGCCTTTGAGGTTTGAACCAAGATCACAACACAACATGCTTGAAGGCCAAGGGTGGTCATTTGGGACGCCTGTCTGGCTTATCCAGCTGCAGGGCATGTCTTTGGCATTCCCACTTTTCCACATACTGGCACTCAGGTGGAACAACGGTTCTGACCTCCTCAGCTTTCCTGCAAAATCACGGTTAAATCCCTAGGGCTCCTGTCCCATCTCCTCAGGTTCGGTGGGCACAGACCCCCCTGGCACCCACCCCAACCACCGAACCGAAACGGAGGTGGGCCAGGAGCCCTAGGGAAACTAGTATGTTAAAATGGTCTTGCAGGTTATCAACTTTTTCTGGGTAGCGTCGAGGTCGGACTGGAAGTGGTAGATTTAGATGAACCATTTTTGCTCGGCCTCCAATCTCACACCGATCTGGTTGGGTTCCAAAAACCGAGCTGAATTCATCTATATACACACTCCTTGAAATAGAAACATGGAAGTGAAATTCACCACAAAATTTCACTTGGCCTTCGAAAAATGGTCATCGAAAAGGCCATGCCATGCATTTCCATGATTGTTTCATGGAGCATATCCTTCGGTTTTATTCCATGTGCCAAAAACAGAATCGGCAAAAACTCCCTTCTCCCCCAACAAAGCTCAGTGAATGCCATGCCATGCAGGCGCAGTTGTTGTTTGACATGGACCAGGTCACCCACCCAGCACCAAACCCCGAAAAAAGAACAGTCCAAATGAACAACATGGACTACAGCAGCCGGATTGTCAACCATGTATTGCTTTTGGAGGATATTGACCCGCATCCGCATCTTTCAAAAGGTCTTCTCTTGCAAAGATCAAATAGGAAATCCCTAGGAGAACACTCCTTGCATAGATATCAACTCCGATTTCGCTGGAGAGCGATCTGTTCAAACGGTTCTACGGTTCTCTCTGCATCAATAGACTTCAGAACGTGTAACACCATACCCAATTCCCATGCAATCTGATCGACGCACTCCATCCACTGTGAACCTTAGACCTGCACGGCGGCTTCCACCGCGCTCCGAACACGCATGCGCGGTTGAGGGAAAGCAGCACGTGATGGATGGCATGATGAAGGACAATAAGAGGATGGTTGATCAAGAAGTGCTCAGATTCACGTGTTTTTTCACATGTATATCCGCAAAGTACAGTACCCAGACAAGGGTACAATTGTCTTCATAGGGCATGGGGTCTTGTCCCAGTGCAAAGAATGTAAAAACTGAGCCAGACCTCCTGAAAGAAGGAAATACATGGAAATACTACATCCAATCTAGATGGTCTCCGTCATCTTTTGCAATTCCTCAAAATCGAAGAGAGCCTTAACTATCAGTGGGATGTCATGTTCTTTTCCACTGATTCCAGTAGATCAACCAGTAGATCGGTGCTTGATGGAAGGACTCACAGCTGCATTCCCATTTAGACCACCACAAGTTGGTTTTAGTCCTTTTTCCAAAGGGTTGTGTTGTTGGATGTGTTCTTTTCACAGCAACAAGCAAGGGGGAAACAAACGAACCAACGAGAACGGTGCGATTCTGCTCGATGGATCTGTCGCACGTGGGGAGGCTCTGTTTCTACCGACTCTCACAGTCAAATGAGTCAATGTTTGGTTATACATGTCAAATCCCTAGTTAGTTGCTATTACTATAGTCTTCCCGATGACCTCTTTTCCTGACATCGTCTTCTATGTCCGACAATCACTTTCCACTGACACCCGAAGCATTGAACGCAGTCTGTCTGACCCGGCATGGACAGGTGCTTTCCTCGCATCGACCCAAGTACTTCACACCCAAACGCTCAGGCTAAATGCATTGCATATTTACCAAAAAGAACACTGAAATCAATCCCAATGTATGGGATTTCAGTCCATACATGTGTTTGAAGACTGTATGAAGACTACTGCATGCCACACGTGTCCAACAAATCAATTCCCATCGATTCATATCGAATCAACAGTGACACGTTCTCATCCTCTTTGGAACCCACAGGTTTAGTTATCCCATTACCAGCTATAGTTACCAAACGTTACCGACTGTTACAGGTTAGTAGGACAAACCCAAGGTATATATATAGTTGTGAAACATGCACAGACTGTTTCTAGGTTTGTGCTGCATTTCATACCATCCCGAGTGCTCACATTGATCTATACCCGTTCGGCCTCCAGTCGTACCTCCGAAACGGTTCGGTATGGCTGGACCCGACCAGGGCACCCACCCCAGTCCCACCGAACCTCAGGTTCGGTACGGCTGGAGGTCTAGGGTATATAGGTCCTATATAGGTTGGTCCCTTTCATTTTCCCAAATGACAGACTGCCCGGTAAAAGACAGACTGCCCAGTCTCCACATGCTCCCTAGTTGGTGGTCTGCAAAATGTAGGATCAATGGTCCCAAATCACAATCACACCCAGGTCCAGCTTTGTCAGGTATTTCCAACCAGATCGCGCCTTCAAAGTCACCCGTGAGCGCGGCGTAGCGCGTGAGATACTCCCCGGGTTCCATGGCCCAGGCATCGCACGAGATCAGGGCGCCCTGCCGGACGTCGCGGACGACGGAAGGCCGTTCGTTGTGCGCGGGATGTGGGAACGGCGCATGTTGGGTGTCGAAAAGAAGAGGGAAGCACCGGTGGATGAGACGAGGCGCAACGGGTAGGGGGGAGGAGCGATGATGATAGCTATAGGTTGGGAGGAATCAGTGGTTGGCTGTCTTGAGCACCAGTGGTCTTGAATCAGGGCACACATTCAAGAAACATCGTACTGCTAGGTGTTCAATGATTCCCTGTGAAGCTAAATGAAGAGAAATTCAATAAAGAAAACATAGATCAGCACATGAGTAGCACATGATCACACATGCACTTCTGTGCCTTCGATGTTATTGCTGGGGCCTCAAAACCAGTTTTGGAGGCTCAAACGGTGGAATTCCAAGCAGTCACGTCAGCAACTGTCACTAGCTCAGCTCAATTTGTGTGCTTTTTATCCAAGCTCCATGGTTCAAAGCACGATGGCCTCCAACCTTATAACAGGGATGTGTTTATCCAAGCTCCATGATTCAAGCCATCTTCTCCGCTCAAGTTTGAGATCTCCAAACATGCGCCGCGAGGGTCGGGTCAAATGTGTAGCAACCCTCGTCCTTTAATTGCACAAAATTCTCGCATGTCTCTTTTCAAAGCAGAGGAACATGATGTGTTCCGATTTGCACTGAAGATTCCTCCGAAATCCACCAAACCACCGATCCACAACGGGTTCGGTATACCACCCGTACCCAGATACCGATGTGGCAGGCGTGTCGAACACATCCACTCCATGACGGAGGGACGACATTAGCGGGTCCAAGGCTCCGGCAGGGAAGGGTGGGACCGTCCCCAATGGGATGTTCTATGGCTTATCCTCACTGCGAAACCGGCACCCTTTTGGAGCGGTAGGGCGTTTTTTCTTGTGCCAGGGTCGGGTCCAGTCACACCGAACCGAAGCGGTTCGGTACGACTGGAGGCCTAGGAAACCTTGTTTTTTCCTAGGAATAGTCGTTCCAAGGTGGAGACTCTACTGGCTCTGTCGCCACCCACTGAATCCGGCAGGATTCCCACTGGAAGCAACATGCTTTTTCATTATAACAATACATCATAATACATCCACCTGGACCCTCCAAAGTACCTGAATGAGAAAATGGAACATGATCTGAACAGAAAAAGCTAACCCCAAGACCCCTAAATAGTGCCATCTACGCCCCCACATTTTTGGTGGTACTAGGCCAAGGCAAGTCTTTTTGGGGCTGTATGGGGCTGTTCCACATCTCTATAGGTATCACCTCTACCAACCCCTGGCCTCCAGGTCTTCCAGGCGTCGAAAGAAGCGCTGCGGCTGGTGATAGCGGCCATCATAGCTCCCTGGTCGGGCGCGCCGCGTCGCGGCGCCGGGGCAGATCAGGATGAATCGGCTGGGAGGCCAAAGAGTCGGACCCAAACGCAAACAAAACCACTCGGAACCATCATAGATGTCATAAGCAGTAAACATGCCAATGGGCCAATGATGACGCATATATTGGACAATGGGTCATATATTTCATGGACTCCTGACATCTCGACGAAGCCACATGTTTCACGCTGGCTACACGCAACCCCATCATCACAGCTTTCATCGCAGCAAGGCGTTTGCCCCCAAACCCTGTCTGCCCAGATGCTCCAAGCAGCCCAACAGGTCCCTCAAAACCCAAGGATTGGTGAGAAACCCCATTCGGGTGCCCAATTCGCGTCTGGGTGGAGCATTTTTCCATGTCTTTCCTCTTTGGCGTCCAGGTGGCTCCAGTCATCCAAGAAGAGGGGAGAGTCATCTTCCAGTGCCCGTTGCACTGTGGCACGGGAGATCATCAATCCGGTGGAGCTGGGCGTGCCCATGTGGCCCAGATCCTCCTCGGGGGGAGAAGGGACGGGGGAATTCGATGTCCAACCCGTAAGGCGTTTCGTTTAGGTGGGACTGGGGACCCGGGTGGATTTGGAGGGTCCAGTCATACCTTCTTGTAGGGTTTGCTTGCTTTTCGGCGCGCTGGGTAGGCAGGGCAGGTGGGACTGAGCGGGTCAACTTGGGATCTGCCTCGGAGGTGACTGAGGGATCCAACAGTGGAAATTACATGGGATGGCCATGTGGCTGCTCAAACTAACATGTGGGGCTGATCTGGAATCCAATTCATTTCTCGATGCGTTCCCAGCGAATTATACGAGCTACTGTATCGCCTCAAACATGTCCAGACAAATATATTATATGTTCTCTATTCAAGGTTTCATCCAAACTCGACCATGTCATGTGCGACAGGTCAAGTGTGAAAAACAAACCCCACATCTGCTTTAATGGAAAAAGGACAGGAGAACCCGTGGCGGATGTCCGTTCACGATATCGACACCGAGCATCCAGCATGCCGCCAATCTTCAGGCGTTGCACACGTGCCATGTGGATTTGGCTAGTGTTGGAGACGTGCAAGCCTGGCATGACGGTCTGACCACACGGCTCGAGTGGTTGTGCTTTGGATAATTATGGGATGAAGGATGAGGGGACTGGCAGTGTCAAAAGATGTGAAGAGTCTCTCTGGCCTTGTGCTGTCATTGAAACGCTCATGAGCTGCTGAAGGCATCCTTTTCCCAAGCACCTCCAGCTCTTCAGCTAAATCCCTTCGCCCAGACGTAAAGAGCCCTCACCCTCCAAAGTGTTTTCTTCCACATACCCAGACACTCCATGTATGGAATTATACAGCCGATATAAATTCACCCCCAAAACCACCAATGTATAGGCAGTATGATATGACAGGATCATTTTTCGAAAAGGGCTGATATGGCGTAAATTCCCTCGACTTCTTTCACCTGGTGTTGGCGCAACAGCGATCTGCCGTTTGTGATGATGATGGAAGCCAAAGAAAGCCACCGCCCTACCTCACAAACCTATATTCATAAAAGTTCCCCACCCCAAATCTCTCCAAATCATTCCATTTCCCAGCCGGCTTGTCGGCTTCTTTCTGCCTAGAGAGACATGAAAATTGCTGGGCTTCCCAGTGCAACTTTGATTCATCCTCAGATGTCGCTCGCTCTCAGCTCGATCTGGCAGGGCTTTCTGTCTGCCGGTGTTCCGACCTCTTAACTTTGTTAGGGGAGTGAAACGGAACACAGAAATGCGCGATTGTTTCATGGGATTCCGGCTGAGAGGGTTCTTAGTGTTTTTCGGCGTGTGAAAGTTCGGTGCAGCTCAGCATAGTATCGCAGGCGTGGATGTGAACATATACCACCAAACATATACCAGCACCCCCAGTCGGGGTGGTTCATGGACACCCCGAACAAAACAGCTTTTGGCTATAAATAGACACCCCGAACGAGTCGGGTGCTGGTATTGCTTCCTATTTTCCCTAGGGCTCCAACTACCTCCTGAGAAGGTGGTTAGACCCCCCAAACCCACCCCAACCACCTTCTCAGGAGGTAGTTGGAGCCCTCTAGGGTTTCCAACCTTCCGAATTGAAATCAATCATGTTGAGTCCGAAGGGACCCCTTTGGCAGATGCTCGGCCGAAAACCAGGAGCCGAAGTCCGACCCACACGCCCACCATCAGCCGTGACGTCATGTCGGATCATCACTCAAGAGGTTCTTCCAGAAATGGCGTATACAGTATCAATCGACTTCGCAAAGCCAGTCAAAAACAGAATCCCTTCCAGCACGTACGAATGTAGGGGTGTCCATTAATATAGCCCCGAAAAGATGTGATTCGGGGTGTCCATGAACCACCCAACTCCTGGGGGTCCAGGTGTCCAGGCTAGGGCGCCTATGCAGCCTCCAATCACCTGACTCAATGAATGGGTTTTCAGAAAAAAAATCTGTTTTCACTGGCAAACGCATCAAATTCTATCGTTTTCACCTTCAATCATTTGGCCTCTAAGACGATGTTTGTTTGTTTGGGTGGAACATCCTTACTCAGCTTCTGCATTTTGGAGGCAAACACACCACCCCTTTGACCAGATCCTTTTGCCTCCAAAAACGCACATCGTTCAGAACCGATTCAAACCAAACACCTGGGACGATGCAGCTCTCTCTTGACCTCACCGATCCGCGCAGTGCATGGCCTTCTCTTGCCGAGCGGCTCGTTCTCAGGCTCCTCGCAGCCGGCCAGCGCGTAGTAGACGTGGTTCATGTTCCCCGCGTAGCGCGGCGTCACGGCGACCCGATACCCGAGGATCTCCTGACGACGCAAGACGGGAGGATCCGAAGGGGGGCGATTCATCTGCCCAGAGGCGACCCCGGGCCCGAATCCTCGGGTCAGGGTGGTTTCGAAAACCAATCCCGATCGGTTTGGAGGGACCAGGAAAGGGCTGTGAACGAAGCGTCTGGGTGATCCTGCAAAAAGGGGTGTGTCCTGTCTGGTCAGATCCCTTCTCTGGCTGGGTTTTTTCGCTCCTAGGGTGGAGGCGGCTGCTTAAGCGCAGGATCTTCCAGCGTGACCCCACACTGTTCACGGAGGCTCCTTTCGTCCGATCGGTTTTCCACCCACGGAGCGCGGGTGCGTTCTCGAAGGACGGCCATGCAGACGTCCGTCTTCTGGTTCTGTCGTCTCAAAAGCCTTCAAAAGACACATGGTTGTTGGGGGGAAGAAAGAAGAGTATAACGTTAATTCTGCCCGCCTATAAGACTCCGGGCCCTCGAATGTGAAGGGTTTTTGAGTTTTGAGAATCCGGACCCCTGTGGTGTCGGGTCCGACCCGTGCCATGGAGCCCTATACGGATATCCGGGTGGCCATGGTTCATGAACTGGGGAACCAGCGGCAGCGTAGACGTGCGAATCCTAAGAACCTGACATGTTCATGATCCTCAACCTGTGAATCCTTTGCTTTGAGTCATGTTGGAACTTTTTGGGGGGACGAGAAAAAATGTCCAGCACCCGGACCACTTCCCACATCACAGGCTTTGGACCCGACGGCGAGGATTGGACATCTTCTGTGGGGTCCTTGGACAAACCTGTTCTCTTCGCCTTCAGCTGGATTTCCTGAAATCCATTCATATTGGGTGATGGGCCAGGGGCGGTGCATGGCACTTGCCCACCAGGTCTACCTGGTGGACCGGCCCCCGCCGGACCGGAAGGTCCACCGAGGGGCGAGCGCCGGGGTAAGAAGAAGAAGTCGGTCGAGCCGGTCGAGCCGGGAGCGTTGGTCGAAGGTCGACCAGACAGGTCGGTCGTATAGCTTATAGAGACCCTAGGGATCCAGTACCTTCTCAGGTACGGTGATGTGTTCGGCACTGTTATGTAGGTTTGGAGGGTCCAAGTACCTTCTGAGAAGGTACGACTGGATCCCTAGGGAGATACATTGGGTCTTACCGACCAGAAAGAAATGATGATAAGGTAAAGGCCTGCTTCAATCATGGTGTTCTTGGTCGCTGACTGTTGCAAGATGTTACGGGTAATAGAGGATGCGTCCATATATGTACAGTGCCCCCCAACCAAAAAAAAGGTGATTCGGACCTGGGAACACATGCACCGGTCGACCGTGGTGTGTGATGCGGTTTGTTGGACCCGGTCTGCAGTGCGCATGGCGTTCCTCACGTGGAAACTACGAGCGGTTTCACGAACTTCCCTATAGTCACGTCGCGGGTCACGAACTTGAGGTCCACGAATTGGTGGGCTTCGGTCCTGGTGCTTCAACACTCCATCTACCAAAAAAATTTTGCGGTGACCGAACTCTTTCGATCCTTTGTCGAGGTCACGAACTCGTTCGGTCAGACCCCTCCTACATCAGCAATAGTATCCTCCAATCAAAACAGCTGTGAGGCCAGCGTTTTGACATTCAACGCAACAATTACGCAACATAGATAACATATACAAAAAGAACAATAAACACCTACCAAAATCTGTTCACCACCCAACCTGGACACCAAACCAAGCGCCACCACCGGTCCTCAACCAGGATCTGTAAGAGCGCCACTGGAGTGTCCACCTGTTCACTCCGCCGAACCGAAGTCCAACGCTCTCTCTCTCTCACGGAGGAAGCCGGTGCGGCTGAGTTGTGGGTCTCCGCAGTACCCGGACTGCATCAACCAGTCGCTCAGTCCCAGTCGCGTGTTCGGGTCACCACGTCACGTGACGGCCGCTTTTGGCCACGCACGGAAAAGGCGGTGGCTTCTCTGGTCAGCACAAAGCTGCATTGGAGCTAAAAGCCGACCGTGCGGTCTGCCGGACATTTTTGACACCAAAACACCCAAAAGTGTTCCGGATGTGCCGGCGACCTGTAGGTTGCATCTGCTGCGACAGCTTCCACACTGTGTGGATTTTGATCACAGAAGCCCTTCCAAGTCTTTAACTTGAAGAAGCTGCTTCAGTGCCAAATACATTGTCGGAACCACATGAGCTTGCCTTTTTAAACATTGCGGCGCTCTGTGTGATGGTCATCGGGTGGCCCCAAAACAAGTGTATGTCACCAATCATTGCATTTTACGGGCGTTGAATTAACCACAACTTCAACAAGGTGGGGTTCTCATCTGTGTGTGGCTCAGAATCTGTCTAGGACCCTTCTGTTGAGGACACTTCCTCAGTGGTTTTCTCTGCGCAACATCCTTTTATCAAGAAGTGACCGTTGGTGTCTGATAATTCTTGAGCCACACTCACGCAAGCACAAGAGTTGGGGCCACTCAAAAAAAAAGCGCAGGAGAGTGGGAGTGTCCTGGGAGTGTACTCTCTTTCTGATTTATGAGTGGTTCATAGCTTCTAAAACTTGCACTCTCATTATCTCATGTACTTGTTCCAATGCATCTGTTCTTGAAGTCTTGTGCTCTTCTGCGCAAGAAAAAAAACAAAACATAACTAACAAAACAGTTGACAAGCAACAATACAGCAAAACACATATATGTGTAACGATCCCTGCACTCTTTGACTCTTTGGTGGGGGCCTGAAGTCAAAATCCTTGCGGTTTCTTGTCGGCTGCTCAATTTAATATATTATATATTGTGTTGTTTGTTTTACAGTTGTCAAGTCATTTTAGTATATAAGCAACTTTCACAAATGACATCAAGGCACAGGACAGTCACCCGCTTGAGGATGTATTCATCCATCAGTGGTTCCACTCCGGTGGTCCCCCGGGAAGAACTCATATGAAACCATTTTAGACTCTCCGCACCCGAACACCTGGGCCTTTTTTGGCCCAGTCTCACACCATGGCGGACTGCGTCTTCTCTTGATCCGCCGGTGCGACTTTGGGTACGGAGGCGCTCTCCGCGGCTGTGCCGGGCTTCTCCGGCTCGGCGCTGAAGCTGTTTTGGCTCCTGAGGATTTTTTGAACTCTACGGCTTCACACCATGGAAGCATATGGAAGGTGGCACCTGCTTTAAAAAGAACAGATTTTGACGTCTTTTGTTGTTTTCCGCTTGGATGAGCATGTGGCCTGGATGAACATAG